GTATCTCAAATATTTGTTTGTTTGTTTGTTTTGTTTTGCTACGTAGGTAGTGTCAATTGGCAAACTAACGCCGTAGGCTATGTCAAAAGCAATATAGCGCCGTAGGCTGTGTATAAGAGCAATCAAAGTTAGGGTTAAGGTTAGAGTAAGGGTTAGAGTTAGGGCTAGGGTTAGGGTAAAGGTAAGGGTAAGGGTAAGGGTAAGGGTAAGGGTTAGGGTTCATATTAGGGTTTAGCCTTATCCTGCACCGTAGGTTTTTGCAAATTTTACTATAGCTACGTAGGTAGTGGCAATAGGCAAACTAGCACCGTAGTCTGTGATTTACATCAATCTTACGCTGTAAGCTGTGTTAATTAGCAATCTATCGACGTAAGCTACAAATGGCAATGTATCGCCGTAGGCTACATACAACTACTTTGGTTGTGTCAAAAGGTAATCTAACGCCGTAGGCTACATACAACTACGTTGGTTGAGTCAAATGGCAATCTAACGCCGAAGCTATATCAAAAAGCAAACTAGCGCCGTAGGCTGTGTATAAGAGCACTCTTAGTTAGGGTTCAGGTTAGGGTTAGGGTTAGGGTTAGGGTGAGGGTTAGGGTTAGGGTTTATGTTAGGGTTTAGCATTACCTTGTACCATAGGTGTTTTAATAGTGTACTAGAGCTTTATCTAAGAATTCATGTACCGATACAAATTTGGATTTTCAAATGGTAAAATTTTTATAATTTTATTGAAGACGTTGCTACATTTTCGCCAGTTACAGTTTCTTCAACTTTCTGAAGTATTGTCTAATATACAATTAAAAGTCATTAAAAATGTCGATTTGTCGATGTGTCGATGTGTCGATATGTCGATGTGTCGATGTGTCTATGTGTCTATGTGTCGATGTGTCTATGTGTCGATGTGTCGATGTGTCTTTGTGTCGAGGTGTCGAGGTGTCTATGTGTCGAGGAGTCTATGTGTCTGTCATTTGAGACTACGTTTCAGGAATCGATATAATATTTGATACAACATTCATATCATTGCAAATGTATGAATATGTAATTGGGTTAGGAACTACTTCTACCGTATATTACAGTTGAGTTCAACTGGAGTATACGGAAGAAATAGTTCTCATCAGCGGATTATTATGAGTGAATCGGCATTACATTTAATGGCTAATACGGACACATGGACACATCGACACATTGACACATCGACATATCGACACATCGACACATCGACACATCGACATATAGACACATCGACACATCAACACATAGACACATTGACATATAGACACATCGACACATCGACATATAGACACATCGACACATCGACACATTGACATTTTGAATTACTAGTATCTCAAATATTTGTTTGTTTGTTTGTTTTGTTTTGCTACGTAGGTAGTGTCAATTGGCAAACTAACGCCGTAGGCTATGTCAAAAGCAATATAGCGCCGTAGGCTGTGTATAAGAGCAATCAAAGTTAGGGTTAAGGTTAGAGTAAGGGTTAGAGTTAGGGCTAGGGTTAGGGTAAAGGTAAGGGTAAGGGTAAGGGTAAGGGTAAGGGTAAGGGTTAGGGTTCATATTAGGGTTTAGCCTTATCCTGCACCGTAGGTTTTTGCAAATTTTACTATAGCTACGTAGGTAGTGGCAATAGGCAAACTAGCACCGTAGTCTGTGACTTACATCAATCTTACGCTGTAAGCTGTGTTAATTAGCAATCTATCGACGTAAGCTACAAATGGCAATGTATCGCCGTAGGCTACATACAACTACTTTGGTTGTGTCAAAAGGAAATCTAACGCCGTAGGCTACATACAACTACGTTGGTTGAGTCAAATGGCAATCTAACGCCGAAGATATATCAAAAAGCCAACTAGCGCCGTAGGCTGTGTATAAGAGCACTCTTAGTTAGGGTTCAGGTTAGGGTTAGGGTTAGGGTTAGGGTGAGGGTTAGGGTTAGGGTTTATGTTAGGGTTTAGCATTACCTTGTACCATAGGTGTTTTAATAGTGTACTAGAGCTTTATCTAAGAATTCATGTACCGATACAAATTTGGATTTTCAAATGGTAAAATTTTTATAATTTTATTGAAGACGTTGCTACATTTTCGCCAGTTACAGTTTCTTCAACTTTCTGAAGTATTGTCTAATATACAATTAAAAGTCATTAAAAATGTCGATTTGTCGATGTGTCGATGTGTCGATATGTCGATGTGTCGATGTGTCTATGTGTCTATGTGTCGATGTGTCTATGTGTCGATGTGTCGATGTGTCTTTGTGTCGAGTTGTCGAGATGTCTATGTGTCGAGGAGTCTATGTGTCTGTCATTTGAGACTACGTTTCAGGAATCGATATAATATTTGATACAACATTCATATCCTTGCAAATGTATGAATATGTAATTGGGTTAGGAACTACTTCTACCGTATATTACAGTTGAGTTCAACTGGAGTATACGGAAGAAATAGTTCTCATCAGCGGATTATTATGAGTTAGTCGGCATTACATTTAATGGCTAATACGGACACATGGACACATCGACACATTGACACATCGACATATCGACACATCGACACATCGACATATAGACACATCGACACATCAACATATAGACACATCGACACATCGACATATAGACACATCGACACATCGACACATTGACATTTTGAATTACTAGTATCTCAAATATTTGTTTGTTTGTTTGTTTTGTTTTGCTACGTAGGTAGTGTCAATTGGCAAACTAACGCCGTAGGCTATGTCAAAAGCAATATAGCGCCGTAGGCTGTGTATAAGAGCAATCAAAGTTAGGGTTAAGGTTAGAGTAAGGGTTGGGGTTAGGGCTAGGGTTAGGGTAAAGGTAAGGGTAAGGGTAAGGGTAAGGGTAAGGGTAAGGGTTAGGGTTCATATTAGGGTTTAGCCTTATCCTGCACCGTAGGTTTTTGCAAATTTTACTATAGCTACGTAGGTAGTGGCAATAGGCAAACTAGCACCGTAGTCTGTGACTTACATCAATCTTACGCTGTAAGCTGTGTTAATTAGCAATCTATCGAGGTAAGCTACAAATGGCAATGTATCGCCGTAGGCTACATACAACTACTTTGGTTGTGTCAAAAGGTAATCTAACGCCGTAGGCTACATACAACTACGTTGGTTGTTTCAAATGGCAATTTAACGCCGTAGACTATGTCAAAGAGCAATCTAGCGCCGTTGGCTGTGTCAAAGAGCAATCTAGCGCCGTAGGCTGTGTCAAAGAGGCAATCTAGCGCCGTAGGCTGTGTATAACAGCAATCTTAGTTAAGGTTAATGTAAGGGCAATCTAACGCCGTAGGCTATGTCAAAAAGCAATCTAGCGCCGTAGGCTGTGTCAAAGAGCAATATAGCACCGTAGGCTGTGTATAAGAGCCATCTTAGTTAGGGTTAAGGTTAGGATTAAGGTAAGAGTTAGGGTTAGGGTTAGGGTTAGGGTTAGGGTTTATGTTAAGGTTAGGGTTAGGATTAGGGTTAGGTTATGGTTCATGTTAGGGTTTAGCGTTATCTTGTACCATAAGTTTTTTCAAAGTGTAATACAGCTATATCTCAGATATTTGTTTGTTTGTTAGTTTTGTTTTGCTACGTAGGTAGTGTCAATTGGCAAACTATCGCCGTAGGCTGTGACAAACATCAATCTTACGCCGTTGGCAGTGTTAATTAGCAATCTACCGCCGTATAAGCTACATACAATTACGTTGTTTGTGTCAAATGGCAATCTAACGCTGTAGGCTACATACAACTACATTGGTTGTGTCAAATGGCAATCTAACGCCGTAGGCTACATACAACTACGTTGGTTGAGTCAAATGGCAATCTAACGCCGAAGCTATATCAAAAAGCAAACTAGCGCCGTAGGCTGTGTATAAGAGCACTCTTAGTTAGGGTTCAGGTTAGGGTTAGGGTTAGGGTTAGGGTTTATGTTAGGGTTTAGCATTACCTTGTACCATAGGTGTTTTAAAAGTGTACTAGAGCTTTATCTAAGAATTCATGTACCGATACAAATTTGGATTTTCAAATGGTAAAATTTTTATAATTTTATTGAAGACGTTGCTACATTTTCGCCAGTTACAGTTTCTTCAACTTTCTGAAGTATTGTCTTATATACAATTAAAAGTCATTAAAAATGTCGATTTGTCGATGTGTCGATGTGTCGATATGTCGATGTGTCGATTTGTCTATGTGTCTATGTGTCGATGTGTCTATGTGTCGAGGTGTCGAGGTGTCTATGTATCTGTCATTTGAGACTACGTTTCAGGAATCGATATAATATTTGATACAACATTCATATCATTGCAAATGTATGAATATGTAATTGGGTTAGGAACTACTTCTACCGTATATTACAGTTGAGTTCAACTGGAGTATACGGAAGAAATAGTTCTCATCAGCGGATTATTATGAGTGAATCGGCATTACATTTAATGGCTAATACGGACACATGGACACATCGACACATTGACACATCGACATATCGACACATCGACACATCGACACATCGACATATAGACACATCGACACATCAACATATAGACACATCGACATATAGACACATCGACACATCGACATATAGACACATCGACACATCGACACATTGACATTTTGAATTACTAGTATCTCAAATATTTGTTTGTTTGTTTGTTTTGTTTTGCTACGTAGGTAGTGTCAATTGGCAAAATAACGCCGTAGGCTATGTCAAAAGCAATATAGCGCCGTAGGCTGTGTATAAGAGCAATCAAAGTTAGGGTTAAGGTTAGAGTAAGGGTTAGAGTTAGGGCTAGGGTTAGGGTAAAGGTAAGGGTAAGGGTAAGGGTTAGGGTTCATATTAGGGTTTAGCCTTATCCTGCACCGTAGGTTTTTGCAAATTTTACTATAGCTACGTAGGTAGTGGCAATAGGCAAACTAGCACCGTAGTCTGTGACTTACATCAATCTTACGCTGTAAGCTGTGTTAATTAGCAATCTATCGAGGTAAGCTACAAATGGCAATGTATCGCCGTAGGCTACATACAACTACTTTGGTTGTGTCAAAAGGTAATCTAACGCCGTAGGCTACATACAACTACGTTGGTTGTTTCAAATGGCAATGTAACGCCGTATACTATGTCAAAGAGAAATCTAGCGCCGTTGGCTGTGTCAAAGAGCAATCTAGCACCGTAGGCTGTGTCAAAGAGGCAATCTAGCGCCGTAGGCTGTGTATAAGAGCAATCTTAGTTAAGGTTAATGTTAGGGCAATCTAACGCCGTAGGCTATGTCAAAAAGCAATCTAGCGCCGTAGGCTGTGTCAAAGAGCAATATAGCACCGTAGGCTGTGTATAAGAGCCATCTTAGTTAGGGTTAAGGTTAGGATTAAGGTAAGAGTTAGGGTTAGGGTTAGGGTTAGGGTTAGGGTTAGGGTTTATGTTAAGGTTAGGGTTAGGATTAGGGTTAGGTTATGGTTCATGTTAGGGTTTAGCGTTATCTTGTACCATAGGTTTTTTCAAAGTGTACTACAGCTATATCTCAGATATTTGTTTGTTTGTTAGTTTTGTTTTGCTACGTAGGTAGTGTCAATTGGCAAACTATCGCCGTAGGCTGTGACAAACATCAATCTTACGCCGTTGGCAGTGTTAATTAGCAATCTACCGCCGTATAAGCTACATACAATTACGTTGTTTGTGTCAAATGGCAATCTAACGCTGTAGGCTACATACAACTACATTGTTTGTGTCAAATGGCAATCTAACGCTGTAGGCTACATACAACTACATTGGTTGTGTCAAATGGCAATCTAACGCCGTAGGCTACATACAACTACGTTGGTTGAGTCAAATGGCAATCTAACGCCGAAGCTATATCAAAAAGCAAACTAGCGCCGTAGGCTGTGTATAAGAGCACTCTTAGTTAGGGTTCAGGTTAGGGTTAGGGTTAGGGTTAGGGTTTATGTTAGGGTTTAGCATTACCTTGTACCATAGGTGTTTTAAAAGTGTACTAGAGCTTTATCTAAGAATTCATGTACCGATACAAATTTGGATTTTCAAATGGTAAAATTTTTATAATTTTATTGAAGACGTTGCTACATTTTCGCCAGTTACAGTTTCTTCAACTTTCTGAAGTATTGTCTAATATACAATTAAAAGTCATTAAAAATGTCGATTTGTCGATGTGTCGATGTGTCGATATGTCGATGTGTCGATGTGTCTATGTGTCTATGTGTCGATGTGTCTATGTGTCGATGTGTTGATGTGTCTATGTGTCGAGGTGTCGAGGTGTCTATGTGTCGAGGTGTCTATGTGTCTGTCATTTGAGACTACGTTTCAGGAATCGATAGAATATTTGATACAACATTCATATCATTGCAAATGTATGAATATGTAATTGGGTTAGGAACTACTTCTACCGTATATTAAAGTTGAGCCACAGTATCTATTCAAAATGCACATATGATTGATACTGTCATTTGACTCATTATAAGAGTTATTGTCCTTACAAAATGATTGAAGCCATTCTGGTTCTTTAGATCTTTTCTTTGGGAGTGGGTGAGTTCAAAAGCAAATAAATGGAGAATGTGTCTATGGGCCACAGATGCCCCTGCTTGTAAATATGCATGAGCCAACTTCCACATACAGATGCAGAATTCGTGTAATTAGGACCGTTTTGTGATTACATGTATAAGCATTGTGTATAAGTTTCATAACATTTGGTTGAGGCAAACTAAAGTTAGAGAATGGAAACGACAGATTTAGCAATTTTTCCATTTATAAAGGGGCATAACTCAAGAACGGTAAATGTGACGCCACCCAATTTCATACTTGATCTGTATTTTGTGGTATTAAGCATTGTGTCTTGTTCTTTAGGTCATGGTTCAGTGACTTTGAATTAGTAAGCAATTTTCAATGTTAAGTTTTCTTCTTAAGTCAGTTTGATAATATCTACTTGTGATAGATCAATGGTATTTTCTATAAAGTTGCATTACTGTCTGTTCATCTCATTTTGTCAACCATTTCGAGGCCCTGTCCACTATATCATGGTCCAGCGACTTTGAATTGATAAGCAATGTTGCTTTCCATCAGATTGTCTTTTTCTGAATTGTTTTGGCAACAGACCAGACATATCTCTGTTTCAACAGTTTATTTAATAAAAATAAATGTACCCTACATTTGGCATTTAAATTGGACCATATTCGAGAAAAAAGCTTCATAAGATGCACAAGTGTGCATTCCAAGGTTGTTTTGGAATTAGATTTTAGCTCACTTAGTCCAAAGGCCAAATTGAGCTATTCTCATCACTTGGTGTCCGTCTTCGTCTCCTGTTAACTTTTAAAAATGTTCTCTGGTCAAGACGGGGCCAACTAAGTCTAAGAATAGAACATAGGGGTAAAATGCAAGTTTTGTCCATGTGTCTTTTATTTTGAAAACTGTTATCAATAAAGAAAATCTTACCAGGCCAAAAATGTTCAGAATGTAAAGATTTACCAACTGTCCATATTGTCAAAGATTGTCAGACGACTGCTTAAAGGGAGTTATTGCCTTAAATAAAAAAATAATAAAACCATATATTTTTTATCTTTTCCTATTACAACATAAAATTGAGAATGGAAATGGGGAATGTGTCAAAGAGACAACAACCAGACCATAGGGCAGAAAACAGCACAAGGCCACCAATGGGTCTTCAACACAGCGAGAAAATCCCACACCCGAAGGCGGGCTTCAGCTGGCCCCTAAACAAAAATGTGTACTAGTTCAGTGAAAATGGACGTCAAACTAAACTCCGAAACATATAAACACCTGTAATATGTAGAAAGAAACCTTAACAAATGGCAATAATGATTAGCAAATCAATCAGCATGGCCTTAATTTACCCTCAACTCCTTATAGAATTACTGTCCTTAAATGATGATTTTTTTTGTCTCGCCTGCGATGAAAGTCGCAGAATGTGAAATATAGAGATTACAATCTGGCGACGGCGTAAACTATTTGTATAAAGCTTTATATTTCAGAAGGTAGAATACCTAGATGCTTCATACCTTGTATATAAATACCTTATGTTACATGTCTGTCATATATCCGTTGTCCTTGACCTCCTTTTCATGGTTCAATGACTGCTTGAAAATAAAATCATTTTTTTGTCAAGTGAAATACTCACTTATTATGAGTATTATAGGATATTTATATTTGGTATATGGGTTCCTTGCGACGTCGACATGTGCGTAAGGTAGGGTTCACCTGACCTTCATCTCATTTCATTGATCAGTGATCAGGGATAAGGGAATCGTAATCTGTAATCGTAATCGATTGTAATTGATTACATTTTTTCAAGTAATCGACTTTAATCTGTAATCATTCAATTTTTCGATTACATGTAATTGTAATTTAATCGATTACAGCCAAAAATATGATGTAATAATCGATAACTTTTCGATTACTTTAGTAAAAAAGTTTCATTAAAGTTAAGTTCTGAACTACATTGAAATAAAGATCTTAATTGTATTAAAATTCTTTAAAGCATAATTTTCAAGAAGAGTTGGAGTTTTAGCTTAGAATCATAATAATATCTTGAGGAACCTAATTGTGTCTTAACTTTCTTTTTCCAAAATTTTGTAGCATGTAATTGACAGTAATCAAAAAGTAATGTAATTTGATATAGTAATCGATTACATACAGAAATCTTAATAATTGATTATTAATCGATTACACAAAAATCCTTCAAGTAATCGATTATTAATGGACTACACAAAAATCCTTCAAGTAATCGATTATTAATCGATTAATTTTGTCAGTAATCGTACCCTTCCCTGTCAGTGATCAAGGCTAAAGTTATGTGGTCAAGTCCGTATCTTCAATACAATAAGCATTTGGTCAACTATATTTGGTGTACATGTGTATGGAATGATTGTAAGGTGTACATGTCCGTCTGGCAGGTTTTATCTGACCTTAACCTCAATTTCATGGTTCAATAGACAATGTTTAGTTTTTGTGGTTTGGTCTTTTTCTCAGATACTATAAGCAATAGGTCAATCATATTTTGGTGTATGGAACTATTGTAGGGTGTAATTGTCTGTCTGTCGGGGTTCTTATGACCTTGACCTCATTTTCATGGTTCATTGGTTAATGCTAAGATTTTGTGGTTTGAACTGTTTCTCGGATACTATGAGCATTAGGGCCACTATATTTGGTGTATGGAATGATTGTAAGGTGTACATGTCCATCTGGTAGGGTTAATCTGACCTTGACCTTATTTTCATAGAGCATTGATAATGTTAAGTTTATGTGATATTTTTAGTAAAACTTTCATATTACAGACTTTCAACATGAATTCAATGATAAGTTTAAAAAAGGCAAGACATTTCGGCGTGTGCACTCTTGTTTTTCCATTTCTTTTGTGTTGTTGCCTATCATCTTGAAAGGTATAATAGATGCAGAAAAACTTTAAAGAAAAAAATTTTATCAGGGCTAGGTCTACAAATTTGTCAACATGGCTGAATTGTCAGTCTACACTTTATAGGAGTTATAGCTTTTGAAAAATTAATTTTGCCTGTTTTACATTTTTGGTGTAACTATAATAGATAAAGAAAAACTAAACATATAAAATTATCAGCAAGACAAGATCTACAAATTGGTCTACAAAGACAAAATTGTCAGTAAACTTCTTAAATGGGTTGTTGCACTTGAATGATGCTTTTTTACCTTTTTTGTGTTGATTTTGGGCTAAAACTCTTGTAGATAGAAACTTTAAACAAAATTGATCAACAATACTAGATCAACAATAAAGATATTTTAGTCATGAATTATATTCTAGTCTTCGATGTTGGAAAGTGGCTATTGTTGAAGGTGCACATAGTTCCAGGTGAGTGACACAGACTCATTATAGCTTCTTTTTGTCTTTTGATGCTACGGAGGAAAATGGTGATGACTTGTTTTGGCAATCTATAATCATTATTGTCTTTGTACTGTGTGAACCCAACAATAACAAAAAAGAAAGCCAAGCAACATCTAAATTTCAACAATAGACAATTGTCTGACCCATAGGTCAAGTTTGAAATCGGTCTATGTCTAGACAAGTTGTGAATAAATTAAACATATCTATCAAAGATTTTAAATCAACAACTAATTCTTTGTAGAACCATAAAACATTGAGGTATGAATACAGACAATCCAATGATACAGTTTTAATGTGGTGGTGTTATACTAGTGTTGTTTGTACTGATCTATCAACATTTTTATCAGGCTCTGAGAAATAATAATTAGCAGAAAATGAAAGACTAGTGATCTCGTGTTGATGTTTTTAACTTTTTTCATTTGAGCGTCACTGATGAGTTAAATTCAACTTTGATGTTAATTCAATGTTTCATTTCCTGTCTATTCTACTTTAAGCATTAAAGTGGTGAATAATATTCATGTTTGTAGTTATTTCAAAAGAAATATACATTCTTTAAAAGTGACAACAACCAAACGACATTCATGTATAAAACAAAAACACATTGTCGCAACATCTGGAGATGTGTAATTCAAGATTATTGTGTCCGTAATTGTCAGATTAAGACTCCTTCTTGTCCGGAATATACAGTAGTTGATTAACTGAGGTTTTTGAAGGTCTGTTGTCCGAACCAGGTAGATCTTATGGTAGACATACAAAGCGATATCATACAGAACCAGGTAGATCTTGTGGTAGACAAACACAGCGATATCATACAGAACCAGGTAGATCTTATGGTAGACATACACAGCGATATCATACAGAACCAGGTAGATCTTATGGTAGACATACACAGCGATATCATACAGAACCAGGTAGATCTTATGGTAGACATGCACAGCGATATCATACAGAACCAGGTAGATCTTATGGTAGACATACACAGCGATATCATACAGAACCAGGTAGATCTTATGGTAGACATACACAGCGATATCATACAGAACCAGGTATATCTTATGGTAGACATACACAGCGATATCATACAGAACCAGGTAGATCTTATGGTAGACATACACAGCGATATCATACATAACCAGGTTGATCTTATGGTAGAAATACACAGCGATATCATACAGAACCAGGTATATCTTATGGTAGACATGCACAGCGATATCATACAGAACCAGGTTGATCTTATGGTAGAAATACACAGCGATATCATACAGAACCAGGTAGATCTTATGGTAGACATACACAGCGATATCATACAGAACCAGGTATATCTTATGGTAGACAAACACAGCGATATCATACAGAACCAGGTATATCTTATGGTAGACATACACAGCGATATCATACAGAACCAGGTAGATCTTATGGTAGACATACACAGCGATATCATACAGAACCAGGTATATCTTATGGTAGACATGCACAGCGATATCATACAGAACCAGGTACATCTTATGGTAGACATACACAGCGATATCATACAGAACCAGGTACATCTTATGGTAGACATACACAGCGATATCATACAGAACCAGGTAGATCTTATGGTAGACATACACAGCGATATCATACAGAACCAGGTACATCTTATGGTAGACATACACAGCGATATCATACAGAACCAGGTAGATCTTATGGTAGACATACACAGCGATATCATACAGACCAACAGGAGCTTAAGCATCTATCAAAACTTATGATTCTTTGCGTGCACACATTGAGTAGTAGCTTGAAATGAAGAAGTCAGTTTAATTATTCAATGACATAAATTAATTAACTATTGTGAAACCTGAATTAGATGATTTTTTTAAGAAAACTGGGGGGAAAAAATTCCAACAATGAGTCGTCGTCAACATTTAAGGTTCAGTCTGTGGTTAAAGTTGTTTAGGACATCTATCACTTTGTTGAATCTGTTATGGAGTTCATCATCATCATCACCATGGTGAAGGAATATGCTTGTAGAAACCAAGTTGCACTGGTAAAGTTTGTGTGTTAACCAAGTCAACTTATCTTATTTAATCAAAAGTGAACACTAATTGTCTTTTTCTAGATCTTGATATATAACAATTTCATATGGACGTCTTCATACCCATTACCCTGATGTAAAATGAACGCGATATGACTTTTGTTTCCTCATTGTTAACCCTTCTTTTACTGGTCTTCAATTTCCCTGGTTTCTCCCTTTTGGAGTTTTATAGCTCTAGCTAACTATGTGTATTTTTTCAGTAATGAATTTGATTCTGTTGAATGAAATATTTTCAATACAAAAACTGAACATTCACTAAATTTTACCAGAAATATGGAACCTTACTATAAACGTGTTATCAAATGAAAAATAAGGAAGGTTAAGCCACATCCAATATTTTACAGCTATATCGATATAAGTAAACACGTTAAACAGACTTTTGTACTTGTTTGGCTAAATAATGTAATCAAGAAAAAGTTTAAATATTTTATACGAACAAAGGAGTTGTAGGATCACATGTCAATGAGAGAGCAATCCAATGACCAAAAGACACATAGAGGGCAATATACAGTCGGACACTGACGATGCCTATGACTTGATACCAAAAACACAAAACAATTAATCACCCACCATTACGAAATAACAGATACAAAAACACAAAACAATTAAACACCCACCATTACGAAATAACAGATACCAAAAACACAAAACAATTAATCACACACCATTACGAAACACAAAACAATATTATGCCGTATGAAAGGATGTCACAAAAGCAACCTCAAAAGTACTTAATCTGCTGATATCTTGTCGTCCTTCACTTTTATATCGATTACCGCGTTTGTCGTACTTCATAAAATAATTCATATCGAAAAACCACTCGAGAACAGTACAGAAGACACGATCTTCTCCAATGCCCAAAACCAATTGGAAATTTCAGTGAATTTTGTGCAATGTTCACATAAGAGGGAGAGTCATATACTTATTTGATAGTTTTTAAACGATTCAAAATAAAATAAAATTATTAATTATCCATTTGTTTCTATTTTTTTTTTGTCTGGATAGTTTGACTACCGCATATATATCTGTTAATTTCCACGAAGGAATTTGTTCGCGGTTTGGACCTTAGATGGAGTTTTATCTTCGCTGTGTTTATTATTCGCATTTTTTGCAAACAATTCAAATGGACATTTTGAAGCTGGTATACCACTTAATAATAATAATAAAATAAAACTATATACATACTTTCTGATATTGTTTTATATCTAACCCCTTGTTTTATTAACTTTGTATTTACATTGTGTCATAGATCAAATTTATTCGATCAGTGTATGTTCATTTGTTTTTGTTAATATGTCTTTTGATTGAGTTCAGCCATTTCAATTGATATTTCATAGTGTGTCTTTCTATGTTGTGACGTTACACTATTTCAGGTAGGGTGAAGGTTGGCGCCTATTAAAACGTTTAAACCCGCTGCATTTGTTTGCACCTGTCCCAAGTCAGGAACCTGATGTTCAGTGGTTGTCGTTTGTTGATGTGATTCATAAATTTTTTTCGTTTCTCGTTTTTTATATATATTATACCGTTAGTTTTCCTATTTTAATGGTTTTACACTTGTCATTTTTGGGACCCTTTATAGCTTGCTGTTCGTTGTGAGCCAAGTTTCCATGTTGAAGGCCGTACTTTGACCTATAATGATTTACTTTTACAAATTGTGACTTGGATGGAGAGTTGTCTCATTGGCACTCATACCACATCTTCTTATATCTTTATAAAGTATGAGTTTCTGAAATGAAACACTGAATAACGTATTGTATTTTACATGTGACATTGAAGACCCATTGGTGGCCTTCGGCTGTTGTGTGCTCTTTGGTCGGGTTGTTGTCTCTTTGACATATTCCCCATTTCCATTCTCAATTTTATCTGATAAAAGAGGGACGAAAGATACCAGAGGGACAGTCAAACTCATAGATCGAAAACAAACTGACAACGCCATGGCCAAAAATAAAAAGACAAACAGACAAATAATAGTACAGATGACACAACATAGAAAACTAATGACTAAACAACACGAACCCCACCAAAAACTGGGGGTGATTTCAGGTGTTCCGGAAGGGTAAGCAGATCCTGCTCCACATGTGGCAACCGTCGTGTTGCTTATGTTATTACAAATCCGGTAAATAATCTAATTCGGTAGGTCACATTCGTGAAAAGGGAAGGGTATTGTAGTTACGACATAAGGAACATATCCGATTTCATCTGTGAAACGGTTATATATATATTCCATAACGGTCAACCAACTCGTGATGGCGTCCATAAAATTTACGAAGCGATGATTTCAACTTCACCATTTGGAACTCTTGGTTTAATAGCTTAAATTATATATCATATCTGTCAACAAGTATAGATGTAGGCCTCTCAATAAATATTTAAAAACAGACACTTGCATGAGAACAAGTCAACAAACTTTAATAGAAAATTTTGTACAATTAACAAAAAATAAAATTTTAAAACAAAAAGTTGCAACAAATATATATGGTAACAACCATTCTAAAATAAAAATATATACATGCAATCAATTCAAATTTTATACATTTTTGTAGATTTCATTCTGCTTACAGCTTCACTTTTATATCGATTACCGCGATTGTCGTACTTCATAAAATAATTCATATCGAAAAACCACTCGAGAACAGTACAGAAGACACGATCTTCTCCAATGCCCAAAACAATTCTGCTTACAGCTGCTTCACATTCAAAATGAAAAATTTAAAGAACTTTTATCTATGCTTAACTATAGAGAATTGTAGATTGTCGCTATACTCTGTTTGATTTCTATAAAATAGCAATGCATCGAACATCATACCAGTTCATTTATACTTGAGGTTCTTATACGCATAAATTGTTTTATATTGTCTGTATACTGTTACAGTGATAACAATAATAAAATAATATTGATAGCATGTATTTCGTAGATCATCAATCTTGAATCTCAATGCTCTATTTTGGGTAGCTTTTCAATTATATGTATTTATACATATCAAAAACAAATCAACAGCTCATAATTTCATCCCATGCTTATCTCACGATTTTCTCTGTGACAAGGAATACCACAGAGACTTTGGAATGACTGTTATATACGCACCAGCAGGAAATGCGTTCGTTCCAGCAGCTGTTGTGATTGATCTTCCAAATGATGCGCTAATAGCCCGACTGGTTTCCGGTATAACTGTTGACGTAGGCAAACTTCTCGTGTTTCCATCTTGTGTACCAGTATCTACTGATACTGAAGCTGGTAAGAACGATATAAAAGCGTTGAAATTACTCAAGATGTTTTGCGTTTCAGGCACAATTTGCGAGCAGCCTAAAACCAACTCACGGTTTGGCACCACAGACATCTGCATTGTGGTCGGCGGTACTAGAGATATAATGGGCTGAATACCAATAGTATTTAATATGGGTGTCGTTACTGTGGAAGCTACGGACGTTTTGCGATTGGAAATTTGACTTCTTCTTCCCGGACATTGTTCATGAAAAGGTAAAACTGTTCTGTCTATTATTTTTGATGGGGTAAGCGATAATGGTAGGTCAAATGAATTCAAGGTACTCGTTACTGGAGATGGTCCAACAGAAGCTTTTTTCCCATTTACTTCAATCAAATGCGGAGAAACCACGACTGACTTTCTGTGTGACCGAAATTTCGATTCATTAGAATGACAGTAGTTTTTCTTTTTCTGAGCCGGTGAACTATTTGATACCAGAGCCGATGTCAGACCAGGAGAACTTGTTGTCTGTTTACAAGGATAGGAAGAGCGCACGGAAGAGCTCTCATTTAATGGTTTATATTGTGGTTTAGCTGCAGCACTATTGCATGACCTTGAAACCACAGATGTAAAAGGTCCACTCGTTTTGATAGTTGCTGTTTCTGACAAAGATATAAGATTTTTCGTCGCAGATGCTGATTTTTGAAAGCATGTACTATTGTTAGGATCTGGATTTAGTCCGCAAAACCTGAAATCGACAATGAAGATTGATATAATTAGATATCATACAAAAACCTGAAATCGATAATGAAAAATCATATAATTCGATATCATACAAAGTGTCTAGCTTAAGAGTCTGCTGATTTGTTCATCTTTTCAAACCACTAACGAGAAACATTTTCTACCTGAAATTTTGTTGAGTCAATAATGATATTTGTTGCCGAACAAGAAGTTGTTTGTATAAATTATGGGTATCACCAGAACTTGTAATTGATGGATTTAACTAATCATCCGATAAATGATTTGAGTTCAAGTTTAAATTTTTGGAGAAAAATTGCAACATGGTTTTTTCCGTCTTTTACAGACACCTACTTGAACTTGTAAGGAATATTACTGTAATATCATTTAATTGACAATCAAGCAAATATTATATATAAATATACATATAGAATAAACTTTTCTCAAGCTTCACATTGGTCATAACTATAAGTTTTGTAAACGATTCGATATTGGAATAATTATAATTTACAACGAGACTGACATAGTTTTGAAATATTCCTAAAACACAAGAATACATTATTCCGAGAGAACAAATTGGTGTTTTCTCACTAAACCACACCAAGATGAGACTAAACGAGAAAAATACATAACGAAAACAAATTAAATATAACTAAATTAAAATACCACAGTGATTGAAGGTTCTGTATGTTTTTGGCAGGAACTCCGTAAATTTGTTGATACTTCGAGCATATCGTACACTTCATGATTGCTCCCTTTCTCCCGGTCTTTTTTATTCTTGGACTTAAACGTCTTTTCTTTGCAGATGATGTTTTGATCAAATATGGTGAAAACTAATAAGACAGAAAATACATACTGTTAGAATTGAATATGAAAAATATGTTATTTTTTCTCGGATTATTCATTGAACCGTTTCTATTCGTTCAAAATTATACTGAATAACTATGTATATTACCGAAAACAAAAGAAGTATTAAATAGAAAAGAAACTACAGTCGAACTCAAATATGTCGTATTGTGCATTTTCACTAAAAACTCGCAAGTTTAACAAGTGAAACTGCGAGCTACTGCTCACTGATGATACCCCCGCCGCAAGTG